CAACAGACAAAGGATTAATCTCAAAAATATACAAGCAACTCCTCCAGCTCAATTCCAGAAAAATAAATGACCCAATCAAAAAATGGGCCAAAGAACTAAACAGACATTTCTCCAAAGAAGACATACAGATGGCTAACAAACACATGAAAAGATGCTCAACATTACTCATTATTAGAGAAATGTAAATCAAAACCACAACGAGATAATGTTCTTTTAAAAGAACAATCACATTTATGTCTTCAGAAAGTTTCAGAATAAGCCTGTCTTTTTAATTTTTAGCTTTTTTTAAACCAAGTAACTATGGACTTTATATATGGTTTTAATTCAATGAACCCTAGGGGCATCCCTAAGAACTAAGAAGCATGATAGAATAATGACCTTTATTTGTGAATAAGAAGACATGTAAAGAAAGATCAAAGGACTTATTCAACAGGGCACAGAGATATCATGGCAGTTAGAAATAGACATATATCTGATTTTTTCTAGTAGTTTTATCCCTATGATGTCTCCAATTATTTCAAGGAGTAGTTAAAAAATCTAAAAATTAACTGATTAAAAATATATACCCTGTAAAATCCTGTATGGGTATATGCGTGTTTGTGATGAAAGAGTGAGAGTGATGTGAAGGAGAGTTGGAAAAAACCTATGAGAGTGAATGAGTAGAGAATAAAAGTGTCAAATCATGGCATGAAGTAAGGTTCTGTTGCTGCCTTCTGCCTAAGAATAAATGATCTGGTCCCACACAGAGGTTAGACTTTAAAACCTTCTTAGACATAAACAGTTTTGAACATTTCCTCCCTAACTGAAATTTAATATGGAACTCTCTTCTAAATTCAATTCAGGTAACAATGAAAGATAATGTATAAAACATGTAAACCATACTTAACAGAGTTATCAGAGCTAATACTGATATAATAATAAACAGGTGCAAGTTTGTTTTAAAGCTACAGTTTTTTAAAACAAATTTTAGCTATCAGGATGAAAAAGCAATATATGAATTCTCAGTTTACTACCAAGAAAATGAAGTTAGACTGTATAGTTAACATATGTCTCTCAGTAAGACATATAATATAGCTTTTCTTTGTGTGTTAATGAATTTCAATACCACCTAGCTGTCTTCTCCCTGCTATAGTTAAAAACAAACAAACCCTGATTAGTAACATCTATTACAAGTACTAGTAATAAATTACATGTTTACAATAAAAGAATCAAAGCATGTCATCCAAGTTTTTTTAATCAAGTAAAATAATGATCAAGTTATTTATAACATAAAAATTTTGTGTGTCTTTCCTATATCGGAGTTTGGCAAGATGGCAGAGTAGACGGGCGGTGCTCATCTTCTCCTGCAAGAACACCAAAATCAGAACTAACTGCCGAACAACCATCGACAGGAAGCTGTTGGAACCCACCAAAAAAAGATACTCCACATCCAAGGACAAAGAAGAACCAGTCACAACACACTGGGAGGGGCACAATCATGTTTAAAATCAAGCTTCATACCTGCCAGAGACTCTTGGAGGGCATAAACAAAACCCTGTGGGCACTAGGATCCAGTGAAAGGACCAGTGACCCCCCCCCACAAGCGAGAGTCGTATCTGTCTGTGAGTGTTTGAAGCCCTCCTGTGGAAGCATGGGTCAGCAGTGGCCTGCTGCGGGGACACGGCACTGGCAGCAGCAGTCCTGGGAGGCAGAGTGTGATGTATAAGTTCTCTTGGAGGAGATCACCATTAGCCCCACAACAGAGCCTCTGGGTGGGTGATCCACAAACTAGAGAACAATAATACCAAAGAAATTTTTGCACTGTTACAAAAGTTCTAGGCTCCACAACAGACTTCCCAAGCAGGGGATCTGGCAAATCAACTGAGAATCCTCAGTCGAATTTGACTTTGGTGGTCAGCAGGATTTGATTACAGAACTTCCACAGGACTGAGGGAAATAGAGACTCTTGGAGGGCACAAAAAAAACAGAGGAATTAGAGATCAAATTGCCAACACCCATTGGATCATAGAAAATGGGAGGGAAAGTTTCAAAGGAATTAGAGAAAAAAACATCTGTTTCATTGGCAATGCAAAAGCCTTTGACTGTGTGGATCATCACAACAAACTGTCAATCGGAATACCAGACCACCTTACTTGCCTCCTGATAAAGCTCTATGCAGGTCAAGAAGCAAAAGTTAGAACTGGGCTTGGAACAACAGACTGGTTCCAAATTGAGAAGGGAGTACATCAAGGCTCTATATTGTCACCCTGCTTATTTAACTTCTATGCAGAGTACATCATGCGAAATGCTGGGCTGGATGAAGCACAAGCTGGAATCGAGATTGCTGAGAGAAATATAAATACCGTCAGATATAAGATGACACCACTCTAATGGTATAAAGTGAAGAGTAACTAAGGAGCCTCTTGACGAAGGTGAAAAAAGAGTGAATAAGCTGGCTTAAAACTCAACATTCAAGAAAACTAAGATCATGGCATCTGGTTCCATCATTTCATGGCAATAAATGGGGAAACAATGGAAAAAGTGACAGACTTTATTTTCTTGGGTTCTCAAATCACTGAAGATGGTGACTGCAGCCATGAAATTAAAAGACACTTTCTTCTTAGAAGAATAGTTATGACCAACCTAGATAGCATATTAAAAAGCAAAGACATTGCTTTGCCAACAAAGGTCCATATAGTCAAAGCTATGATTTTTATCTTTTCCAGTAGTCATGTACGGATATGAGGGTTAGACCATAAAGAAGGATGAGTGCTGAAGAATTCATGCTTTTGAACTGTGGCACTGGAGAAGACTCTTGAGAGTCCCTTGGACTGCAAGGAGATCCAATCAGTCCATCCTAAAGGAAATCAGTCCTGAATATTCATTGGAAGGACTGATGCTGAGGCTAAAGCCCCAATACTTTCGCCACCTGATGCAAAGTGCTGACTCATTGGAAAAGACTCTGATGCTGGGAAAGATTGAGGGCAGGAGGAGAAGGGGGACACCAGAGGATGAGATGGTTGGATGGCATCACCAACTCGATGGACATGATTTTGAGCAAGCTCTGGGAGTTGGTGATGGACAGGGAAGCCTGGTGTGCTGCCTTCTGTGTGAGTCACAAAGAGTCAGATGAGACTAAGCAACTGAAAATCTCCTTTATTGTTTGTACAATAGTTATGGGGTTGAAATTTTCAAAACCAGAGAGCAAAATTAATGGGAGCATGGTTCTAGGTAGACTGAAATAATTCATAATAACAGCCAGCATGAATATTCCCATATTTTTCCATTGCACCAAATTCTCCACTGCAAGCTAGCTTACATTATTGTCGAAATGGAAAGAATAATGAACAGAACACTGAACACACTCAGCAAGTTAATTTGTAACTCATTTAAAGGACATCCAAAGCTGATTCATCCCTTAAATTGAACTAAATAAAACCTGATTTGACTTGTTAGAAATGTGCTAGGATCTTAGCATCAGCAATGCTAAAGGTGACCTATTATGAAAATTCCCATTAAGTAGAAGCTTATGGGGGAAAGGGAAATTATTTTTAAAACTCCTAAGAGCATATTCTAACTAAGATAATAAGTAAGGTAATAAAAATCAACTAGCATTAAAACTGAATATTCATTTAGAGAAAAAAAATGTGTATACTTAAGGTGAATACTTCCCTGAGGAAATCTGAATATGAAATCAATTTTGTCTCTTGAAGAGCTGTGAGCCTTGCTTAGTCACTCAGTCATGTCCAACTCTGAGGCCCTGGAGTATGTTGCCATTCTCTTATCCAGGGAATCTTCCTGACCCAGGGATTGACCCTGGGTCTCCTGAACTGCAGGTGTTATTCTTTACTGTCTGAGCCACCAGGAAAGTCCCT